GAGAGATTGACCTGCAAGGTATCTGTACCTAATCTCACAGAACATGTGTGTGACCTTCTCAGGAGATGCTTGGAGACAGATGAAATTAGCATTACAAGAAGAATGGCCTGTGATGCTTCAACTGCTCCTTGATAACCATATGGACAGACTTTGTAATTTCTGTATCCCATTCAGGAACAATGATATCCCCTTCCAAAGACTGGATTTTTCTTGCCAGCCATCTGTCATAAGGACAGCTGCCAGTTGTGGTCAGAGTTATCTTTTCAGTAAAGTGCCTTTTTCGTATTTCTTATTTTGGTCTTCTTATGCTCTATAGTTTATTTGTGGTCAAGGCTGTCTCACACAGGGTTGTTATTAATCATTTGTCCAATATTTTCACATTTTGAGGATCTCATGGTATGATATGGGTTGATGTGGAATACTCATGGATGGCAATGCATTCAAAAACCTGTTTCATGCTTAAATTTTGTGCACCCAACTAACTAGGACAGCAATCTCTAAACATTTTTTATCACATATCCCTAAGGCAAAAATAATTATATGCTGTACCTTATATTATTTACTTAAATAAAACCATGGAATGAGCTGGCTCTTTCTTATTATGAATACCAAAAACAAAACCATAATTATGGTTAATGTAAGGTTAATGTCATAACCTTTTACACTAATATACAAAACGCCAAACCCAGTATTTTAAAAAATTCAAGCTACATTTTTAGTGAAATTAAGGGGTGAAGTGCAAAACCGCCCACTTATCTGTTTCGTGTTCGTTTGGCGCTTTTTACAAAAGTAAGAAGAATTGGATTTTTGTCAATTTTCTTTCACTTTTAAAGTGAAAATAGGTCAATGTTAATACATAGATAAAGTCAAGGAAGTGCACAATGCCTGTTTTGTGCAATTCTGGGATTTTTTTAAAGTGAAAATAGGTCGATGTATACATGGATACCGAGTTTGTGCAATTCTTAAAAATGCGCCAAGTAGTGGGCGATTTTCCACTTTCCCCAAATTAAGAAACATTTCGTTTTTAATTTTGAGTTGACCTCAAATAACAGTTTATTTCTTTCAAATGCTTAATTGTTTATTTCTTAAACAACAGATATGGTCACGGCTAAGACTTAGGCAATTCTAAGATTGCTACTCATACGTCGCTTTCAATTCCGCGATAATTTTTTAATTTCTGAATATTGCCAAGAGATAGCATGACTAGTCCTAGTTTCTTCACAATTTTTGCAGTGAGATTTCCTGCCTTGAATATCTGCAGGATATCTGTTAGAATTTCAACTAAAAAACCATTCAAGATACTTTTTATACTCATAGCCTTTTTTTTTTTTTTTTTTTTTTTGATAAAGTAAGCAAAATAAATTATGTTTTTGATTAAATAAGTGATTTTGTTTTTGCGATAAATGTGGTTTCTACGCTCTGATGTCCAAGACAGGTTGTAAAGCTGTTTCAACAATAAGGTTGGAAAACCATTTTCTAAAGCACTTTTTACATAATTTTAACAATTACTTTAATGTAAATATTTATATTAAACAGGGCTACAAAATAGATGCTACAAAAAACACTGATGGCATAGCAAATTATTTATATTAATTAGCATTTTTTAGGAAATAGAAAAACTGGCATTAGTTATTTCTAAGAAACAGTATAGCTTTGACAAGATCTTCTTTGTTGGAGCACCATAGATCCGATTTAATAAACTTCAGAGCTGAGAAGAGTCTTTCCACACTAACTTGAGTAGGAGGAAGAGCTGTTACTTTTAAGGTTACTTCTTGTAACTTTTCAGGCTAGATTTTTATAAGTTCTTAAAGAGGTGTCTTGCAAGCACAATCATATTTCTCTATTTCTTCAAATCCATCCAGAAATCTTGTTAGTATTTTTCATTTTTACATCTAATGACTCTTTGTTCTTTATTTTCATTCGCTTTGCCTTAGCCTTTTCAATATTATCTAAAAACATATCTCTAAACCTAATTAATCACTAGAAGAGCATGACAGAGACTCAGTTGCAATGTATGCAGTTTGGCTGTCCTGATTCGAACTCCGCAATTGTTCTGAGAACAATTTCATTCTTAACGAAAGTTCATAGATGGCTTTCTTTGCCTTTTTAATTTGTTCGTCATCCAAGAAAATTCGGTGTTTCGTATCTACATATATTAAACCCAGCAAGATCTCATTGTCTAGCCAAACTAGTTTCCCTTTTCTTCATTGAAGAAATGATTCCTTCTGCAATAAACCTTCCATTTTAGAAAGAACAAACATCCCATACTTCCATTCTTGCCTCTTGTCAATTCTTCAGATTGCAGCTTTTTTGTGGCTATATATGGTGTAGAAAGAAGAGTTTCCAATTCTGCAAGATCATTCCAGTCTTTCTATTAGTGAAACATTACGGTTATCTACATCTTCTAAAAAGTTCTTAATTCTAAAAACATCTTTATAATCAAATATAAACTTCCTTATTGCGTTGCTTGATCAATAATAGCTCCTTTTCCTGCTTGCTTCCTAAGAATGGCATCAATTTTGGGAGTTCTTGCTGCTATAGCTGCTTACCTAAATTTAGCAGTGAGATTTGTAACTAAATGAATCAGTTTAGTCACTAGTGGCAAATATCACATCCATCCTTCTTCCTTATATTTATTTATTAATATGCCAATAAAATAGAAAATAACTATTACTAATGTATAGCAATTTTTGAAAATAGTGTATTAATTTTTTTAACAAAAATTGAAGTATACAATTATAAAATAAAAGAAAAATTTGAGTAATTTAACCTCTTGTTTATTGATAAGTACCACAAAAAAATCAAAATCATAATTGAATCGGCTCTTTTAACCATTTTCATCTGTTATCCACATATCTCGCACTTCATTGAAGAAGCAATTAGCTAGGTTTCCTCCAAAAATTTAAAATAAATTTCCTCTGATGCTATTAACAATTTATAAATAAATCTTTGATTAGGAAAGACAGGTTGGCCAAAATAACGTCTCAAAAGGCAATTTTTTTATTCCAATACCTATAATTCTTGGTAATTACCAATAACAACATTCATCTTCGAAACAGAGATATCCATTCTGTTTGAAATCTGACGAATTCGAAGAGATGAATAATAAAATTTTAAAATGGCGCAGTAATGCATAAATATTCAGTAACCAATCACAGAGCTGATTACATCACGCATAGAATTAAAATTATTTAAATAATCATTCATAATAAAATCATTTTTAAAACAAATGCAAAATTAAATTGTATTTTAATATTTAACAGCCATAAATAATGTTTAAAACATTAGATTAAATTTATAGATATTAATAAACCAATTACTTTTTAAGTAAGGTGACGTCATTGATTACATCATCAACAACATAAAATTATATAAAATATTATAAACAACAAAATTTTTATTTCAAATAAAAATGTAAAATTAAATTGATTTTTAATATTTAGAAGCCATAAATAATATTTAAAACACGAAAGTTATGCATAATAAAATGCATTAATTTTTTTTAATAAAATGACAACAAAGTATTGGTTACCATAAATAACTTATCCAGCAATGGGTTTACCATAAGTTGTATTACTCACCAAAAGAAAAATCGCCAAAATCCGTGCAACCGTCTACCAAAGTAGCACCGTGATTTTATTTTCAATAACTGAAGCAAAAGAATCATAACAAGCAAATTTTTCCAATCGCAATTATAACACCACAAATATGAGATAAATTTTTCTTATTCTGGCTGATGGCAAGAGATTAATTTCCTAACAACAGATACCACATTCCTGAATTATAAAAATAAATTACATAATAATAACTTTCTATTGTTAAGATTTCTAATATTTCAGCCTTGTCGATATCAATTTCCAAAATTCTCTAATCATTTCTCACTTTTATGTAAAGAAAATATAATAGGATTAGCTGCAGTACGAAAATTTAATATGAGGTTTTATAATCACTACTTTAACTAATCAAAAATAAAAGTTTAAAAAGTGTCACTTCAGTCACATAAAGATCAGTTTTAATACAGTTATTTAACTCATGTAACGATTAAAAATTTTTACTTTGTTTATATCACATCAATACTGTTTCACAACAAAATGTGTAGTTACATGGAATCACATGCTCAGCTCAAAATGAAAGATTTTACTAAACAGTAACAATTTAAAGAAAGAAGGAAAAAAGGCTTCTTGAAAATCCAGTGGTTTCCGCATTATTTCTCCAACTATATCTGCATCTTTAACATTCCACAAATAATAAACAGATAGGAAAAAGTAAATGATTCAACTCTTTTCTAATTTAGTACAAATATATACTTAGAAAATAAGTCACTATGCTGCATATTTGAAATTTAAATCTTTCATTTTACAAATAAAAATTAAATCGTTTCGCACGTGAAGTAGAAAAAAACGGTTTTTTTTCAAGTTCACGCAAAATTTTATTATTTATTCTATTTCATAAATCAATTTTAAAAACTGTTTACAAGTTTATATTAGTAACTCTAAATTTAAAGACTACTTTACAAACACAAAAGCGCATAAATGCTAAACAGTACTCATTCACTGAGAGGAAAGGTTTTTTTTTTTTTTTTTTTAAATAAACAATCAAAAAATGCTAGAAAATAAAAGAAAATATGCCTTCTTACAGCACAAATGGACTGCATTAAAAGGATTTTATCTTAATTACCACCAACCGGCAAAACGGTTATTTTCTTTTAAAATATACGAAAGGGAGTCATAAATTTATTTATATTCTGAAGTTAACGGGAAGTAGCAAATATGGATGTATTTCGATAAACACTGCCCATGGACTACAGTTTTTCTAACTACGTTGATTTTCATTCAATCTACAATAACTAAAATTACATATACGCAAATAAATGCACATAATATAACTAATGAATAAAATGTTTTTAAGCAGCAAAGGGGATTCATGGAATATGGGCCTTATCGGACGAGTCTAAGCATGATATTTACATAGCCGAATAACCAAATAAAATGTACACTTACATTTAAAACTTCCTCACTTTTAATATGCAGTGTTAAAAAAACTCCAGACTGAACACTAAAAGTCTCCGAAAATAATGCATATAATTCATTTTCTATAGAGAAACTACTAAACGATACTTTCAGAAGGTGAAGCTTCTCTGCTTGTTGCCAAACGCTTATAATAAACCAAAGTCATAATATGCGATCCTCAAACGGAGAGCAAACTGTCTCGCTTGTACACCTTATATTCTAATTCGCAGTAATTATTTGCAACTATTATTTAATTTACGAGCAAAAATTTTTAAATATATAAGTTTGTATGGATTTTTTTTAAATACTTGCTTCTTTGACATACATAAAAGGAATGCAATGTTCTCGGCTTATTTTGATATTGTTTATTTTAGCAATGCTAAGTTAAGCCTGCATTTGTACTAAATAAATAGTTGTTTCATTCATCTGGAGAACTTGTAGTTCATTTGAGTGATCCGAAACTTTCTGTTTGCAGTTGTTCTTTATATAAGTAGCGATTTGATACTTCAAGAACAAAGGAAAGTCTCAGATTAATTATTATCACCAAAAAAGAGGGTTCAGCAAAGAGGTAAATCTAATGTCGAATTGTTAAAAATGAACAAATGGTAAACTGCCTTTCACAGTGAAAAAAAGTGGACCTGATGGACTTAATTTAATAATTTTTATATCAAAAAAGGTCCAGAATCAATTTTGAAGGGTTACATCATGAATTTTTGAAAAGATCTATGTTTTTTTTATCAGTGGTCATGTGGTGTAACAACACGAGAAAGAACTACTCGCGAAAGGTCATTCACGGTTGCAAGTGATTCGGGTCTGGGGAGGAAGATGTGCGGGAACTCGTTAGGCGAGTTAGATTTAAGAAGATATTGCTAAATCTGCCTCTGAGAAGTAACTGGGTTGATAAATAAATAAGTCGCTTTGATTTTAAGTGTTATGGTCCAATAATACATTAACATCCATTAAGTGCACACGAACCCTTTTAACAGAGAACATAGTACTTATGTTAAATTGCAGTCGCTTACGGTTAAAAGAGATAATAAAACGCGTTTACGGGGACGCGTATTTCCAAACCCTAAACCACTTTTCGAATTTTTGACGTCATGGACAAATCGACACAAGCGTCTAGCCAAGGCCAACTAGATATCTACAGGCCTGCTCCACCGATTTGTGACGTCACAATCGAAGGCGATCGTTCCTCGGTAGACGCAGCCGACTGATTCATTTATGTAGTACGCAGCGTTTTATTTCAAACTCAAGTCAAGTTAAATTAATTTTTACAACTAATATTTCGAATTTTAGGAATAATAACGTACTATATTACATCGTAATGATGGATATTTAAATACTAAATACCGTTCTACCGATTTATCAAACAGAAAATAAAAATAAGATTCGAGTGATATTGTAAATATAGCAGAGCTGATTTAAATAAACTGAAACATATCTGAACTTTTATACAGAAATAAAATGGACACAAAATTATTTATAAAAATGATACGGTATGTTAATATCAATGAAAATATAACATATGTAATGAACTAAACATGAGATGTTTTCATTTTGTAATAAAAAGAAAAAATATGTTAATGCTCTCAGATGATTTTATATTGCTTAAATTATGAAGACTGATTTATACTGCTTGACTACTAAACAAACATATATAGTATTTCATAATAAAATTAATATCAATTCATTAATTCTAATATAATAAAATATTGCTTTATAATTATTTTTCGGTGCAATGATATTGAAGCAAAATGAACTCTCTTTTCTTCATTCCCATAAAGATTTTTCAAGATTCAATCAGAGAACCTAAGATGCTTTTTAATAATAAATACACATGTGGACATTAAGTGAAATACATAAATCTTATTAATATATTAAAAGTATATCTGAAGTTTAGTCTACATATTGAAAAAAAGGTTCATTCTAAAGATGTTTTATAGCAAAAACATTACACAGAATATTCAAAAATATATTTCAAATTCTCTTAAAAAAGCAAGATCATAACTATGCAATCAATCCCAATGAGCATCATATCATGCTCCAAAAAATTCTTATGAAAGAAAATCTGATTAAAAATACACTCTTAATACATCTCATTAAAAATACACAATATTAAGCAATGAAAAATCCTGAGGAGTCATTACGATAGTATAAGATACTGATTAGCCAGTTGAAATTATCAGTTCACATCTGCAAATAAGTTGTCATTTGAATTTTTTAAATATTAATAATGGAACATTATTATTTGTAGACTCTGATGTGAGGTCCACAAAAATAAACTTCAATAAACTTGAATAAGTTTCTACGACTCACTGATATTCACAATATATCATCTATATCATTCTATATGCCAACATGGATATAGTTTACAGACGCTTAGTATTCAATTAATTTAGACATTCTTCTTCTTTTTTTTTTTTTTTCTTTTAAAATATTTAAACTCTTTGTACACACATACTACTACATTAATTTGTATTGCTTAAATTAATTAGATTGATTTATACTGCTTAAATATTAAAAAGATATGTGATATTTCATAACAAAATTCATAAACATATTAATTTTAATAAAATTTTGATTTACATTTATGATTTTACATGCAATCCTATTGAAGCAAAAGCCAATTTTTTTTCTTTCTCATAACGACGTTTCAACATTCAATCTAATATCTTAAGGTACTTTGGTACTTACGTATTATCGCAACCAGGTTGACGCTATTTAAGTTTGAGTAAAAAAGTATGAATAGAAAGAAAATGTACATTTATTAATTACAGATAATTTTAATACAGTTTTTTTATATTATTTTCTTTTAAAATATAAAATAGCAATTAAACCCTTCCGGTTTCGAATTTGAATAAGTTGCAGAATTATTTTTTCGGCGGAAATCTTTTGGCTATTGCTTTTAGCACTGATTAAAAACCGTATTCGCCATAACCATGTACACATCGACTTATTTTTACTTAAAAAAAACATCCCAGAATTGCCACAAAAATGGCATTACGCACACTCTTCACTTTATCCATGTACACTGCTATTTTCTCATAAATTACAAAAATTTGCACGAAAATGCAAGAAAATTTGTGAATCTCCACATGCTCTTTTTACAAAACTACGTATAACATGTAGGGTTGCCAAATTTCGCAATTTATGCGAATTTTGACCTGGTTGCGATAATACGTAAGTACCGGTACTTTTTAATTATAAACGTACAGGTGAACATTTTGGGAAATACAGTCAAAAGTCGTTAATTTGGACACCCATAATCCAGAATGATCTATAATCCGGCCCTCAAAGCTAAAAACTTTCTGCGCATGCGCCGCGTTGACACATGCGCATAGGCGTTTACGCGTGCGCGTAAGACCTTTTACCACTGTGCATATGCGTGTGCGCAAGCACAGAATACGTTTTATGTATAACGGACGGCATAATCTAAAATTATCTAATTATCTATTTCAGTTAATGTTGATGGATTGCGTTGTTCCTTAATCTTCGAATTGGATCCGGATTATTATTTTTTGCAGACTGTAAGACAAATTTATAAAAGTAAACTTGAACTTTCGATTATGTCAAATAGAATTTCCGATTCTGGAGCTTCAAAGGATCATACAAAACGAAAGTATGTTTCGATGTCCATCAAACAAAAAGTGAAATTGCTGCAAAAAATGGATAAAGACATGAAAAATGTGACAGAGAGGTTAGTGAAAACGAAAAAATTTCGATTGACAAGTTAGTCGGTATTCTCGACACAATTAACGGGACTTGAACAGCGGAACTTTGTAACTGAACAAGAAATTGTGTCTGTTTATAGAATTAAAGAGAAAGTATTATCACATAAAACGAAGCAACTTAAAACAACTTACATTGAAAGAAATGTTTAATAAAGTAAACAAATAAATATAAAGCTTTTTTTTTTTTGTAAATTTTGATACACTTTAGATTATAATTGTTCTTTATTTCATAAATTAAGGTTTCATATTTTTAATTTTAGAATTCCTGCATGTCATCTTTTGAGATTTAAACTGATGATCTATAATCCGGAAAAATCGATAATCCGGAATCGCCAAAGTCCCGACGAGTCCGGATTAACGACTTTTGACTGTATATGAGGAAAAAAGTTTTATTTTAAAGATGTTTTAAAGCATGAACATTATACGAGAAATCGGTTTAATCTTTGGATTATGGTAACTTGGCGATTTTTTGGCGACCAACCCCGCTACAGCAACCTACTAGTTTTGTTTTGGATGCCATTTTGTTTTCTCAGAGTAAAGGCATGTTTTTTTTTTTTTTTTAACTCAACATTTAATTACGCTTATATTAGAACTTTTATGGAACAAAAGTGCTTAATCATGACGAAGATTAGGTGCGAAATTGGGAGAAAGTGCAGAATCGCCCACTGCTTGCCGCGTTTTTAAGAATAGCACATGCACGGTATCCATGTACATGTCGGCCTATTTTCACTTAAAAAAACATCCCAGAATTGCACAAAAATGGCATGGCGCACACTCTTGACTTTATCCACGTACACTGCTAAAGTCCTAGCTAGTAACCTTTATCGCCTTACCAAAATGTCGCCAAACTACCTGTTACCATATTCCAAAGATTAGCCGAGAAATCTTGTAGCATATCCAAAAATATATTATAAAATTCCCTGAAAATAAAAGTGAGATCATAAACTATGCAATCTACCCCAATGAGCACCATATCATGCTATAAAAAATTCTTATGAAAGAACATCTGATTAAATATACACTGTAAATTTATTTAATAATAGACAAATAGTAAAAGATGCATGCAGTATTAAGCAATGAAAAATCCAGCAAATCATTACAATGTTATAAGATATTAATTATTAAGTTAAACATCATTAATTCACATCAACAAGAAGTTTGCCATTCAAATTTTTGAAATATGAATGCCAAAACAGGCTTATCATTGTAGCCCCTGATTTGAGGTCTACAAAAATAAACATGATGATTTAGCCAGTTGTTTTGGCTTACGGCAAAGGATTTCGATTAATGTGCCTTGAACTACTACTTTGTTTTGGTTTTTTATCCAATCTATTAATGCTTGGCAGTCTGAATCTGATTTAAATCCAGGTGGTTGTTCCATGTAAATT